TACATCAGGTGGCTTCACGTGGCTTCGGGTCGGCTGAGTTCGACACAGCTGAACCAACATCTGGATCAGATAAGCCGAACCTCCGGCAGGCTACTCGCTGCTGTTCGGTCTATTCTTATAGATGCCGAACAGCAGTGAGTGAATAGCTGAATGCTGCTGAGCGGCATTCGGCTCGGCTGTTCTGCTTGGTCCCTCAGAGGGACCGAGCAGAATAGAAAATTGTTAAAAAAGTAAATAGAAAACGATTGTGCGGAGCTAGCAATGACAGCTAGCCCCGCCCAATAGTTTTCTATTGGCCGGCGGTTCTGCTGCCGTAAAAAAAAAACGAAAAAAAACCCCGCTCCCAGCCGCCCAGGAGAGAAACACTGAATTTTCTTTTTTTTTTCTTTATTCTGACATAGAAATAAAGAAAAAAAAAATTGCCCATATGATTGCATTGCTAGATTCCTATTGGCTATTTCAATTTGCAATAGCCAATAGTAAACTAGCATTGCACCCGCCCTCTGCTGCAGTTGTCCATCAGGTCCATCAGCAGACACGGCTCTAAGTCAGAATAAAGAAAAAAAAGAAAAAGCAGTGTATCTCACCTTGGCGGCCGGGAGCGGGAGACTCCCGGAGTGCCCGGGAGAGTTTGCTGTCTGGAGATCAGTGTCCCTGGTTAGCTGGTAACCAGGGACGCTGATCTCTCAAGATCACGGCTGGCTCCGCTCAGCTGTCAGAAGCTGTCTGTCGGCCGGCCAGAGGCCGGCTGCTCGGCCAGCTTCGGCTTTCAGCGCGGCTCAGCCGAGCCGAGGCATATGCGCTCGGCTTGACTGAGCCGCTCGGCTAAGTTCGGGAGCTGTACGGGCTATTGTGAATATCCCGTACAGCAGCCCTTCGGTTCTACTGAACCGAAAGGATCCTGGGGCCAAAGCTAGCCAAAGGATCGGCCGAAGCTACGGCTAGATCCTTTGGCTGCTTCGTGAATAGACCCCTAAGTGTTTGATTCAGGGTAATAAAATGTCTCCTAATTTAGAGCCTATCCCACTGTTCCATAAATCAGAATTACTTGTGGCTATTGTCTCTCTGAAATAGTGTATTCTGTTAATGATTTTTTTTTTAAATAACACCTGCTCTCATCCTATTAAACTGTGGTCTAGAGAAAGTCATCACATACTCTGCATGGAGTCAGTACAATATACAGTATATTTTGCTGACTATTTCAGTGAGACAATTCACTCTAATGTTGATTTTTTTTTAGGTTAAAAGCTGCTTGGTGTCTCTCCTGTTCAAAATACAGACACATGTTTTTTTTAAATATTGTATAGGGAGTTACTGCAATAGTTAGCTGGCTTTTTTCTGCAAAATAAATATACTGTAAAGTTATTTTTTGGATTAAAAGCTGTCCCTCTTGTGTAAAATGGGGGTTACTGAAGCTGCTCATATATTGTGTATGGAGACAGAACAATATTTTGCTGGCTTTTTTTCTGTCAAAAAATTACAGTCTAATGGTATTGTCTTCTTTAAAGCTGATAAGTGCCACCCTATAAAAACATACTGAAGACTTCCCGTTCCGGCGCCTGATGTAGCGGACGCACGGAAAAGAGCTCCCGCGCTGCCCGTCGTAATCGGCATACAAAAACCTACCTCGGCCCCTCGATACCGACTCTCTGCATTGGGAGTCTACTCCGGGCCTCGCCATAGCATCCTCCATGGATAAATTCCTGACGAAAAAGCATAACGGTCCGCGGAGCAAGAGCACGCCAACGAGACCCAAGAGGCCACAACCTCCCCCTAAAATGGCCGCGGGTCTTCCTTATGCGGGTCTTCCTTATGCAAGCCCATCGTCTGCGCCCCACTATCCAAGACGCAGTGACCAAGGCGGTGAACAAGGGCATCCAGGCCTTACGCGCCGACCTTCTTCAACAGGCACAGAGGCTGTCAGAAGCGGAACACCGAATAGCTCAACTAGAGGAGGGGAGTGAAACAACGACCTCCCAGATAGAATCTGCCCAGCAGAACGTCCAGCATCTGATGGACCCGGTGGAGGATCTGGAAAACCGGTCCCGCCGGAACAATGTCCGAATCATTGGACTTCCGGAGACCTATCGCCCTTCCTCTTTGGCGGACATATCCGCCCACAATATCCCCGACCTCCTAGGGATACATCTGCCGTGCAGGGTGGAAAGAGCACATCGTGTTGGGCCTCTGAACCCGGAGAGGAAATCGCCATGTCCGGTCATAGTGCGTTATTTGGACTACAATGATCGCATGACAATCCTGCAAGCATTCCGCGCTAGAAAGAGCGCGCTAGAAAGAGCTTGACCACCGCCTTCTACTCTTCGCAGACTACTCAGTGGAGGTCTCCAAGAAACGCAAGGCCTTCAGCGGTTTATGCACCATGCTGTTCCAAAAGAAAGTGAAATTCACGTTGGCATACCCTGCAACGCTCCGCTTCCAAGCCCCTGATGGCTCACAACAATCCTTTCTAAATCCGGCAGAAGCAACTGCATATATCCGCCAGATGCTGGATCCCGATGCACCGGATGGGTATGATCGATCCCCCCGACAACACCGCCAATCTACCCCAGCGAAGAAGATGCTGCCTCGCCTCCCGATGACACCCTCAGATTCGCCGTGAGCTGCAGATTTTCTATCGAAGATACGGTCCTGCCTGCTATATATCCTAGGCCCAGGTGAGCTCCTCCAGATTCTCCCTTATTTTTCACATCGGGAGGGTGACGCTACCCACACACCCTGGAGGTTTTTGATGTTTTACTCGGGGCCCCACTACTTCGCTGCAGCTCACCCCCTACCTCGGCCGAGGAAAGGTTTTCTACCACTAGGTAGATCTGCTCCCCGGGCATGGCAGAGCCCCCATTGTTCCTGCTATGCGCCTCAGGAAAAAAGAGAAGTCCCTAACTAGATACTCGAGATCTAATTTTTGCTTATTTTTTTTTGTTGATTTTTTGGCACATCCATACATGGCTGTTGTACTGCCCGTCACAATTTCTTCGAGTTTTTTTCTATGTCCATAGTCAATTTTACCCACAATTGTGTTAGACACCTTCACATACTCGACATGTATGGATTTTACTTTAGATATTGTGTTGAATATGTTTGTTCTGTTTTTGAAGTGTATGCTTATTCTGTGCACTAGGCATCTTACAATGTAATAGGCTGCATGGTGAGTGCCTTCATGCGAAAAGTATAATGTGACGCGACACCATGTAATATGCTGTATTACTCTCGGCAGTGGCCGAATTTTTTTGTTGTACTGTTAAATTGTATGGAAAAGCGATAAAAATTGTTTGGAAAAAAAAAACATACTGAAAGTGCTTAAATACTGTGTATGGAGTCAGCACAATATTTTACTGGTTGTATTCTACGAAATATTACACTCTATTGTTGATATTTTGATTCAAACCTGGCTGTTGTCTCTCCTGTTCAAAATGACAGTAACGTAAACAACAGATTGTTTATATACTGTCTATGTAGGCTTACAATACTTCTTCACTTTAACGGTGATAAATATATACTTCATATTTTTTTTGGCTCAAAAGCTGCATAAGGTGTTTGTTTCTGCAATGTGGCCTACAACAGATTGTTATATTAAAGTATATGCAATCTGTACAATATTCCCTTCTTTTGAAAGTAAAAAAAATAAAATAATTTGTATATATTTTTTGGCCTCAAAAGATGCATGAGGTATGTGATTTTTGAAATTTGTCCCACAACAGATTGTTTAAATACTGTCTATGCAGGTTGTACAATATTACTTAGTTTTTTCAGTAGAAAATATGCATATTATAATTTTTTTGGCCTCAGGTGCAACAAGATTTGTATAATTTTGCAAATGCAGCCTACAACAGACTGTTTAAATACTGCCTATGCAGTCTGTACAATATTCCTTCATGTTAACAGTGAAAAATATACACTCTATTGTGTTTCTTTACCTCAAAAGCTGCAAGAGGCGTGTGGTTTTGCAAAGGCAGGTCTACAACAGTTTGTTTAAATACAGACTATGCACTCTGTATAATGTTTTTTTGTTTTGAATAATACAAACTTTATTTAGTTTTTTTGTTCTAAAAGCTGCATGAGGTGTGTAATTATTTGCAAATGTGGCCTACAACACATTGTTTAATTACTGTTTATTGAGTCTGTGCAATATTCCTTCCTACGTTTAGTGAAAAATATATATACTTTAATATGGATGTTTGGCCTAAAACCTGTATGAGCTATGGGATTTTGCATATGTGGCTTACAATATTGTTTAAATACTGACTATGCAGTGGGAACATAAATAACAAATACAGTGAAAAATATTTACTTTGTTGTGGTTTTGTGGCTTCCCTGACTTGTTTAAAAACAGAAGCCATGGGAATCCATCATGTCATTTAGCGGCATTAATGCTAAAGATTTTCAGCTGATGTTTATGTATAAGCATCAGACGAAGGTTTGGGCAGGCAAAACTGACCGGATATGTTCAAACCTAACCTGAAACCCATGCTGACTTGTTAGTAGTTTTAAAAATTCAGTTCTATTCTATATTCTCTAACTTCAAATGAAATTACTAAGTTACTAAGTTCCTTAACAGCTTTAAACTACATGCATATTATATTGAATGGATTCTTATAATAATAACTGTTAACAGTCTATAGTTCAATATTTGTATACTGTAATTGTGTGAATGTTTTTTTTCCATTACTGGGATTGCATATATACATTAAGATTTTAGGTGAGCAGATTATACCTCAGTGTACTCAGTGTATTTGCCCAGAGTAGAGTGGTACACTACATTATAGGTAGAAGACTTGTTGTTGAAGTCCCAGACAACATGTGTGATACTTTATTTTTAGGAAACCACAAGGAAGCTTTAACTCACTTGTGTTCACTTAAAAGACTAACTTTTAATGGACTTACAATGTGAAAGAAAACAATACATTTAAGAGACATAACAAGGCTAGATAAAATATAGGAAATATAATATACAAATATGAAAATACATTTATGCTTATTACCTGTCCTTGTGCATTTGTGACAAGTTGTCCAGTAACACCTTGGAGACTGGATAGTGCATTTCCAAAGGCCTGTGAACTCGCTATTGAGCCCATGGCAGCTGCTGCCGCTGCAGCTGCTGCTGCTTGGTTTGCTAAGGGATTATTGACCATCTATAAACAAACAAAAAAAAATAGTCCTCTGTTAACCTCAGAAATTATTAAAATAAACCTAGCAGAGGAACAGCCAGTTCAGTACTTTAGCTCTTCAGAATATTGATTAGACAAAGGTAATGCTTGGTTATTTTGCTGAGTCACAAAAGTTATAGGCAGTTATGCATATCTTTAAAAAAACCTTATACATGACCTAGGTGTGTTAGTCTACCTGTTAGTTTAATGTGTATTAAAAAATTAAGAAAGACCATAGATAATAGCATATTTTGGTGCTCTAATGGCTTTTACTCTCCATGTTTACATGAGTTTCCATTTAATGCTCAAGTCTTTTCCCATCAAAACCCAGACCGATAGTTTTTGGTGATAGATTTTTAGGTACAAAGGTTATGGTGCATTAAATTTTATAAGAAATGCAATTTTCATTATTTTATTCTCAGCATTTGAAGTATGGTAGTATAATGTTCACTGTGATAATGGTTTTCATTGTGTTAACTATTGGGTTAACATTTAGGGCTAAGGTTTGATTTAGGTATATGTTCATATAATCGTGGTTACATTAAAGAAGAAATCAAGGCATATGAAATCTTAACCCTTGCAGTGGGGCTACCCCCACACTGCAAATGTTAACTGCTCGGTTTGTCTAGGGAGCTAAAATAACAAAGATCACTCACCCGCATCTCGGACACGGCTGGCTTCTACACTAGTCTATGCAGCCTTGCCCCCCTTGTATTAGCCTTCATGTTGAACTGGACCCCCACCAGCCTTTTTGAATACAAGAATCAATACTGAACAGGACACCCACCAGCTATCACATTTCACACTATGTAAGTGGAATTTATAGGCCGCATTTTCAAGGGTAGAGGCAAAACAGGCTTTAAAAATGTTGAAAAGAAACAGGACCCCAACCAGCCATTATAACATTAACATTAAGTGCCACCCTAAAACAGGATATCAGGGCCAGTGCTCATGGGACCAGCTGATTCTGCAGAAAGCTAAACATTTTACCCATCAAGAAGCAGCATCTGTTGTAAGTGATTTAATCAACATTTGAAAAAACTTAAAAACCATTTGACTTTAATATCACTTTAACCTTGTGTACTGTAGTTTATTCAAAGAAAAGAGACCCTCAGAAGATGAGATGTGTTTGCCATAATTAACCCTGCCTGTACTGTCCTGGCAGATTTCATTATCAGTTAACTAGAAGTGCAGGACTGTCTGTCCTAACAAAAGGTTAAGCATCTCAAAACCTTGGCGGTGCAATGTTAATGGTATTGTCTCTCGGTCTTGTCCCTCCAGTCTGTCTCTTATCTCCACATTACAATTTTTTCAAAGCAAAATAAGCTGCCCACTGAGCCCTCTGTATATAGAAATATTGTTTAAATTATGTTTAGGTATGCTATGTGAATAGGAACCCATAACAAACACATAGTGGGGGTCTCTCAAATGTGACTGCAAAGGTGAAAAATACACTTTAAGCAGAGGTCTTCACCAATCTGCAAGAGGTATGGGTTTTGCTGCATTACTGTTGCAGAAAGCAGTCCTCCTTTTGCCCTGTTGATGACGGTTGATACTCAGAAAAGCTAGTCAGAAGACCAGCAAAACATTTTCAAGAAAAATACGGCAAATCCAGTTGCCTTGATTTATTTTTTACAGATATAACAGGATAGAAAGTGAGGGAAAATATGTCTAGCAGTGCCCTGGATAGCAGTAAAACCCCACATTACCTACTCTATTCAAAATTAACAACAAAACGTTTTGGCTTAACATACACTTTCACTACCAGCTCTGCGTACCACTTTGCATACCACTCTCTCTCTTCTCTCTAGAGCCCCAAGTTCTTTCCAAAGCAAGATGAAGGAACTAGATCACATACAAGGTGATGCATTAAACTTGACTTTACTATTACTTCAGTTTTATATACAGGTATTAGTTTATTTCCTACGTGAGCCAAATAGTACCTGATTCTGTAGGTCCAGAATGATAACTAGGATGTCATACGCCACTTCCTAACCAATGGAATCACAAAGTTACTCATCCACTCACTTGGTATCTCCCATCTCAACTATTTCAACTCCCTCCTCTGTGGCCTCCCGCTACGCATGTTATCCCCCTTCAGTCTATTATGAATGCTGCTGCTAGTCTCATCGGAAACTCAAAATATTACCAAACACTTACAAAGCAATCCACAACTCTGCCCCCAATACAGCCTCCTCTCAAGGTATCCCATTAACCATCCTATCTACTCCTGCCAAGACCTCCTGCTCTCTAGCTCCCCCATCAACTCCTCCCATGCTCGCTGCTAGAACCTTTCTAGAGTCTCTCCCATCCTCTGGAACTCCCTACCCCAACCTATCTGGCTATCTCCTACTCTGTCTGACTTTAGGTGATCCCTGAAGACTTATCTAGTCAGGAAAGCCTGTCCTGTCTCAACCTAATCACTGAACTAGTCCTTTCTCAAACAATTCATCCCCACACAGCTACCACCTCTTGTATCACTTGCCTCTCCCTTTTAAACTGTAAGCTCTCATAGGGCCCTTCTTACCATCTTGTCTTGATTCGTATTGTAACTGCAATGTCCTCCTTATATAGTAAAGTGATGCGCTATATAAATCCTAAATAATAACACTAATAATAATTTCCAGACTGAATCTTGATGTATCTCTTTAGTAAACTGGGGCACAATAGAAACAACATAATAACAGGTGTTTCCTTTTTTCCCATTTTCTGTTTGGCTGTAAACCCTGTAGTTACAAATACTGGGAGCAAGAACATCTGCAAAGCAAGTGATGAGCAAAAGTTTCTTAATGGTTAACAAGACCTTTATTCACGTTGCAGGATAAACAATCATTTTTTTTGAAGTGAGAGATTCGATGTCAAGGTTTAGTTTTACAGGAAAAATTAAGATTGTGTATGATATCAGATATCTCTAGATCTACTAATCATTTCAGCAGTAATTTTTATTCTATTCTGCGAAAGGAGGAAGAATCTAATTGCTTTTAAAATTTGTTTTTAAAATGTCATACTGGCAAAGAAGCAATACATATCTTTCCTGCTGCAGAACACCACATCTCTGCAAAGTAATCCAAGGCTGAAGTCTCTTCTGAAACTGACACTTCTGGGAGTATCAGTCTGCTGTGTCACCCACAGTGCTCAACGATTACTCCAACTGACAGTCACCCCAGGATACAGTAGTGACATGGAGGTTGGTGGGAGGAACCATTGAGAGCTGCAGAAAACACAGGTGATTGACACTCCTTTAAGTGTTTGGTTTCAGAAGAGACTTCCGCTGGTGATTACTCTGCACTGAAGAATGGTTGGGTGATGCGGCCAGCAGAAGAGATAGGTATTTCTATGCTTCCTTCCTGATACTGCATTTTTAAAGAAACTTTAAGTAAGCAAGTTGCTTTAAGGGTAAGACAGATTCGTTAGCATCTTCCAGTTTTTAAAAAATAAAATCTTCTATAGCCAAATATTTTTTAAACTCTCACTATATATACTATATGTATAAATAGTAATTCTAAATGAATTGAAACTCAATTATACAATTTTAGATCTAGTAAAGTTTTATACTTTTTCAAACACACTTACAGTATATGGACAAGCATATTGCATACATGCCAAATATATCAGACATGTCCTCTTTCATGATTAAGGTACTTTCTTGAAAATGATAAAAAATAGAGAGTATTATCAGTTTTGCCTTTCAGGAAGAACTGTCATACATAGTTTGATGTCCAACTAATGGGCCTCTATTCTACACAGTAGGGATTTGTTTTTTCCCTCCCTTAGGAGATAACTACTGTCTTTGAACACTTTTCCTTTTTTTCAAGAGACCTTTTGAATTTTCTTTTTAATGTGAAGCACATACATTTTTCTCCTGCACAGGTCATGAATCCTATGTAAGAGGGAAGGAGTAGGCTTCTTTTTACACCAAAGAATCATGCTTTTGTTAGGGCCAATCTGAAACTGCATGAGTTTGTGTTTTCAAAGAAAGCCATTTCATAGGTCTATCTATAATGAAAATAGAGAAGAAACTGCACTATAAAATTGTTTATAGTATAACTGGAATTTCCTGAATAAGGACCTTCATTACAATATCACCAGGTGTTTTTTTTAATGAAAGATACAGATCTAAAACAACTTTTGAAATTATGACTGTGTTCTCAGTTTAAGCTATATTGCTATAAAGCTAAACCCTAACAGGATCATGTTTAATTTGCTATAGCACCGTAGTTTAAACAATTGTCATTTTTTAAAGAAAATAATTATTCTAATGTTGTTTCACCTTTTTTTGCATATCAGAACTGCTGATCTCCTCTAGCCTGCTCCAACCACTTCCTGTCTTCATGTACTAGCTCTAGCATCAGATGTACATGATTGATCTGGACCAACTTCCTGAAAGTTGCAACAATGAACCGTACCTGCACAATGTATGGCGGCAAGTATATAGGTGTTAGAGACAGTTGTCACCCCCATAATTGGAAGTTCCTGAACAGGGAACAAGATCATCAGTTTTATTTTATTAAAAACTGCAGATTTAATGTAACACTTTTTAGTAACATCTTTTAGTAACTGAAAAAGACTGTAAAGATTTTAGTGACTCAATTTAGATCTACTTTAATAAGAATTATTGGTACAATACAGGGTAAATAGGGAGCACTGCACTTACTGTTTCCATTGTATGTGATTATGGTGAAGCAGATGCTTTGAGAAATAGTGGGGATAGTCCAGGTTACATTTATTAGTTTAATACTAACTCTGGATTTAGTATTCTAGGAAGGAGGTCAGTAGCCATAAACTCCATATTTCTACAGTACAGATTGCCTTTTAGATGCCAACAATTAACATCAAACTGTACTAATTATTTAAAAATTTAGAAACAAATGGTGAACATGTCAAAAGCAATTCATAATGTATTTGATATTTTTAGATAAAAGTAATTTTACACTGAGAGCAAATAAAAGTTCCATAAGTTAAAACAATATAGTTCAGTTTTGAAT